CGAAGATCAATCGGGCGTGTCTTTGTTTAGCGGACCTTTTGGGGTAGATGTTGAAAAGCCGAACCGAGAGGACACCACAATTTCCGGGTGTAGGCGATTTTGGCGCACATTCTCTTCTGTTCTGTTCAAGGTTGGCCAAACATATCCTCGTAACTTTCTTGGGTCACGTTCAGACTTCCTCTTGAAGGTCTCAGGCGGACCTTCGGGGTATGACTTCGGAACCCCAGCTGCGAAATGGCCAAGCAAAGGCGAAGCATGGGTCATCCCACAAAGTTCACACACCAAATCCTGGAGAGAAAGAGGAACCTGGAGTCTCCTTCTGACCCTTTGAAAATGGGGTCATTACCCAAAATAATGGGGTCATGGACCCATGTTTAACGGATCATGGAGACTCCAGGAATCCCCAGATCCTAACAACCACCGATTGGAAAGAGTGACTGTGGCTCAGAAATTCTGTTGGGCAAAGGATCTGCCCAAGAGATGGCTGAGCCCCTGGTCATTTTCACGCTTAGGTTTTTAGTTTGCCAACTTTAGTTTGTCAGCAGATAGCATCTTAGAGTTTGCAGTACTCACCCCTGAGTTCCTGGACGATGAAAAGCGCTTTTTGGGAAGACCATCCAGTGGTAAAGAAGTCAAGTGTCCACTTTTTGGCCAATCCACTCTTCTGCTGTGAGTTGAGTCGAGCATTCTGATGTCCCATCCCAAACAATGGACAGGACACTCCTATGACACTCCCTTTCAACCTCTAAAAAATATCACTGAACTTACCCTCTGAGCATTTGCCTTACCGCCCACCTGCAGAGCTAAAACCTAAGTGGTTATCACCACTCGTTTCTCGTAAGCCGCCAGTCAGCCGGGGGCAAATCCCCTCAGGGCCAAGAATCCAAAGCCCAAACCTGTCTGGTTGAAGCCATCGTTTCTTGGAAGCCGCCGGTCGACTGGATCAGGGCCAAGCCTACACCGTGCAGAGCCTGGTGCGGAACCCTCAGCAGGCGGACTGGCCTTCCTCGCTGCCCTGGCGCTTGGAATCCTACCAACGCCACTAGGCACTCAGGGATGCTCAGGGATGCTCAGGGCTCTCAGGGCTTCGTTGGAAACTGGCTTCTGCCCAACACGGGCGGCGAATGTGAGGAATCTATGTCGCCATATCAGTGGAAACAAGTGGTTTGGTGGCCTTCTTATTGAGGGTTGGCTTGGTGTTTCCCAGGTTCCTTGCTTCTCAGGGTTTTAATGAGGGCATGCTTAAACAACCAACAGGTCTCCCTAATGGAGAAAAATGCAAAGGACTTTACCTAGAAACAACAGAAACATGTTGCGACATTGGCGTCCCTGGGTTGTTCAAAATCAATCCTGGTGCCAGCTTTTGTGGCTTCCCTGGTTGCGGTGTCGATCTGGGGTTGCCGCTTAAGATTAGGGATGCCCTATTTTAAGCAACCCAGCTTCCTTTTTGGAGACATGTTTGGCCATTTAAACGTGTTGTGTGTGTAGGCACAGTCGTGCCTCTATTCTCGCTGGTTTCCTTCAACAATCAACTGCCAAAAGCAGGGCGCCCTTGTCATTAGGCTCAATTAGCCTGTTTGCTTTTTGGGACACCCTCTCGGGTTTCGTTCACTTTCCTCCCAAAATGGTACCATTGGTTTTGAACCATGGCCATATCTTCCGTCAAGGTTTATGTTAGTGGGGGGGTTTACAGGTGCTTGGCCCACCATAAAGATCTCTCACCCGACTCCCACGGCGGTCATTGGTTCAAACCCACGGCAAAGCTGAGGCTTCATTGCTACCGGGCAGAAGGTGCGCCTGGATAGCTCGGTGCTGGCGGGCCAGTCCATCACGCCGCCAGCGGACACGTTCCAGATCACCAATAGCACCTTGGGCTCATGTTTTTTTGGAGGGGGGGAGGGGTGGGGGGTGGGGGAGGGGAACAGTTCTTTGGTGCATTTTGCCAAGGGATGTTAGGACTTTAGCTTTTTGCCAACTAATGGGTTTCCCATTAACTTACTTGCCCAAAGCCGACCTTTCGACCTTTTAGTTTTCCGGGTTTGGTCTATTTTTAGTCATGACCCCAAAAGTTGATCACCTTTTATTTCCAGGTCCTTTGGGCAAGTGAGTTCAACCACTAAAAGTTAGTCACTTTCAGCAGGGCGCAAATTTCGCCACCGAGAGTTTACCTGGCTCGTAAAAACGGGTCACGCGCCATCAGGGCGGCCCAGTCCGGGTCCGAAGCGGCCTCTGAGAGTTTCGTGTCGATGTGTAGGGCATTTTCCTGGGACGTATTTTTTGAGTTGCCCTCCCCCCCCCCCCAAAAAAAAAAGGGTTCTTGGGTGTCCATGTTGGTGAAAATAGATGGGCCTGGTTGACCTGGCTGTTTCACAATCTACCAAGGCCATCAAGTTGTCCAAAGGGACACCTACCAAAAGGTGATCACCTTTTATTTCCAGGTTCTTTGGGCAAGTAAGTAAAGACCAGGATTGACACACTCCACTTTGAACAAAAAATGCTTCCCATTTGGGAAGCAAAGAGGGAATCCGCGAACCAACCGAGCACCTTTGCTCTACCTGCTGCCCTTCGGTCGCATCTGAATCCGCTTGAAGTTTTCCATTACACCTCCGGAACCCAGAGGTGTTCATTCTCCAAAAGGAAGCCAAATTGGTGTGTCTAGATAGGTCAACTCGCTCTCTCTCTCTCTCTCTCTCTCTCTCTCTCTCTCTCTCTCTCTCTCTCTGTCTCTTTAAATGTGTTTTTTCCAGACATCCTATGTAGCACCCATTTATCATGGTTGTTGTTAGGAAACATTTTACATTTTTGCTTTTTGTGGTTTAGTGGGAAATCCCCTCTAAACTGCTAAAATTTAATTTTTGCTCCCCTTCCAACGTCAACCAAGTTATGTTCATGCTCTAGGTGCAGCTGAGCACACCACCAGCGCCAAAGTGTACGGCGTGCAGTTCACGCTGCAGCTGCCGCACCCGCTGCTCACGGGGGACTCCATCGACGCCTGCGTAAGAAAAACAAACGACAGGAAGGTGTCACTTACCTTGATGGTTCCCAGCTAGGTTTTAGGGTTTAGTTGGGCATTGGGGTTTCTCTGAGGGCAGCCCAGTCACTTCCGTTCAAGATGAACATGGAACCCGAAAAGGACGTCCTCAAGAGCAGCTTCCGATCCTGAAAATGGACGGCTTGTTGGATTCCATGTTTTTTGGTTTCCCCTTGAAACCACCCTGCAGCAGGGGAATAGGGATATTTTGAGAAACTCCCGTGACGGTTCCCGTGTCGAGCCTTTGGAGGAGATGACTTTAAAGTCCGGGCAGGGATCAATGCACCACAAAGTTGTGGCAGGCTTTAATGGGATCTCACAATTCACAGACCCTCCTAGGCCTTCCCTTGCACCCTTTTGAGGGAACCCTGAAAGTGGAGCTTGTTTGCCTTCCAAGAAGGCAGGATCCTGGGTCAATGGCGGAAAATTTACAGATGAGGCTTCAACACATAGGCAACCACATAGACGATCACAACAACTGGCAAGATGTTCTTTATGATTGGGGGAAACCAGGGTTTTAGGGCGCTGTTTCTGTGCTGAGAAAATTCGACTGAAGTCACAAAGTGGTCGTAGGGATGGGCCACGCTGGTTCCCACATCCTTCCGCGAAACTCTGTGCACCGGCTGACGCTCATCTTAAATTTCAGGAAGGAAGATCGTTTTCCAGGCCCGGCAACATTTTCAGGGCTTCACGAGAGCGCACCTAGAGTCCAGCCCAGGCCGAATTTTAACCCAGAAAACCCCGAAGAGCCTGTGGTCAGTTGCCAAGGCCCCGCTGTGAGCCTCTTGAGTTTGGGCGGGGCGGTTCGTTTAGGTTGGTTCAGGGGTGGTTTAGGTTGGTGGTTTAGTTCGTTCAAGATGTGAAATAGGGGGGGGGCTGGGAGCCCGGAGCCCGAGACCATATATATATATATGGCTGTGGCTCAAAAATAGGTACCCAAAATGGCACCTTGGTGAATGGAACCAAAGACGAAAACCTGCGTAACCCTGGCTCTTTACTTCTGAGCCACACCCATATATCCACGTACTGCGGAACCCGCGCCTCAGGAAGTCACCGCCCCCCCGGGCTTCGAACTGCGGGCCAACGGCTCCAACACCTCCAATGCCTCGTGCCTCGGCTTTTCCAGTCGGCCAGGCTGTCCCGGATGGATGGGAACGTCTTTTTGGAGCTGGTCTCCCTTCAACACCACAAAAGAAAAGAAGAGACACAACCGAATAGATGTTTACCATTTTAGCTCATGGCAAAGCAAGAAGTGTTCACTTTCGGTTTGGCCAACACGGCTCGGGAAGTGAGACTCCCGTCCCAGATTAGGTGGGTTCACACTCAAATAATGCGAGCAGCATGTTCGCAGAAGCTTACTGACCCGAATCAGGAGCTTTCCTGGGCTGTGGGGGAGGGGGCATTTAGTTCCTCGCAATTGAGGCCTGTTCAGAACCCACACCTGCGGTGCAGATGCTTAATGACGTTTTCAGGCCTCTTGGGGTCACCTTTTTGGCGTCCATCAAGCTCTTGACGAACAAGGCGAAAGAGATCGAAGGCATAACATGCGTTCGGAGCAGGCCTTTTACCGCTCAGAACCCTGAGTTGGTGACTGGATTGTCCGGCGTGGGCGAGGGGAAGCTGCCCATGGAACCTGATGGGCCCTTGGAAATCACTCGGCACCTGGTGGCTTCCAGGTGGGTTCCTTTCTGAAAATGAATGGCCCAAACGGCTTCGACTTGTGTCGTTGGTAGGGGCCAATTTATCCATCTATCTATATATATATATAAATGTGTTTATAGGCCTTGCAAGGCAGAAATCAGGGGCAACATTTTCTCCCAGAGGCCCGTGGTTGAGTCCTGAGAAAGATGCCCTTCACAAGCTCTCAAGTCACCCATGTTTTGCAGCCGTGTGAGTCGGATGCCGAGGCGCTGTCTGGACTTCAGGCTGGATGCGAGAGATCGACCCCAGGTTGCGCCCCTTGCGTCTCTTAAAGTTCCAAAAGCACTTGGCTGGTGATAGGGTGCCCTTGCTCAATGCATGCAACAGCACATCTGATACTTGATATTAACATACACCAAGAAATTGGTGTGTCGGGGGGAGGGGGGGGTGCTGCCTTCATGTGTATCAACCCAGCCTTTGTTGTAGAACCTTGCAGCCCTGTCTCCCCTAGGCGCTCGTCTCATTAATATTTTCTGTGGCTAATTAAGTACTGAGCCGGAGCATTCTTCTTCAAAGCCGTGAGTACTGTGCAGAGGTGTCAGCAGTCAGGGACCAGAGTCTCAGGTGGCAAGACACCTGGCGCCCGCTGCGCCTGGACGTGGAACCCTACTGCGACTGCAGCTCTTCCGTGGACTTCGGCCATGTCTGCTCTTTGATCGCGGCTCTCCGGAAGATGGCTGGGGCCCCCTCACAGATTTTGGATTTCTAGGCCCCCCCCTGTCGTGCCCTTTCTCACCTTTTTTTGGGGGAGGGTTCCCCTAGGATTTTAGATTTTGAGGTATGCGAAATATGAAACAGACTCTAAACATATCATGTTCGGTGTACCCCTGATGTAGGCCGTGTTGGGGGTTGTTCCGGGTCCCTTAAAGTTTACATTTTCGGGTTCACAAAACTGTTTTCGGGGGGGTGTCCATTGTAACCACCACTTAGAGGGTCATTTAGGGCTTTACTGGGCCCAGTTGTCTTCCAGTTGCTTTGTGAAGTGGGGAAGGTCTGTGTGAAATCCACTCAACCCAAGGCTCTTTCCCTTCTGTATTTGGGGCAGCCCGGGGTAGAAGCAACCCAGAAAGGCGGGATTTTGTTTGTTGTTGTTTTTCGGATTGGTTGCTGCCTCTGCTCCCCTGACCCCGCGTGCTACACTCGTCCGGCCAGACCCCCACCTTGCCCCCCCCCCCGCGTTGGACAACTCCCGGAAAATCAGGGCACTCTCAGCTCCCAGAGCGAAACTGGGAACACGAGTCGCTACTCCAAGCATCTTGTTTTTTTTTCAGGACATTTGTTTAAGGTCCCGCACCTTCCAATGGAGGTCCTGAGGCCTTTCAATGGAGGGGGGGAGCTGGGCTCCAGGTCAACGTGTCCTTCCTGTCTCCTGAAGACGTCCTGGGTGCAGACACGCCTGTGGGTCGCTTTGCCGCGATCAGGCTACGGCCGAATTCGCTTGGCTGAAGACAGCTACCCATCAAGAGCGCCAGCAACCTGCGTGCGGTTTGAGGGCCCAAGTCTCCTCGTCAGGAAACTAGAGGATGTTCCCGTAAGCCTCCAGTTGGTGGGTATTGCGGGTCTTTATGCGGCTGTTGTTTTTTGGTGCAAGCAAGCCGCTTCCTGGGAACTGTCTAAAGTTTAAAACTGATGTTCCGCCATTGAACCGTTCAGCCGCAAGCACCGAGCCAAAGCAATTTGTGGGAAGCAGGGAGGGGAGGTGGCTGTGGGAGGGGGGGGAGGGGGTGGGATCCTATGACAGTTGGCGCAGTGAATTCAATACTTGGATCATATATGGCATAGCCCCACAAGTCAACAGCCCCCTTTTTGAGTTGTTTTATGCAAATGTACCTTATGAGATGAGCATGTTGGAGCTTGCATCCCTTTCAGGTGAGATTTTTTTAGAGATTTGAAGCCCTCTCAACATAGGGTGTACCTCCATGCCTTAATATAAAGTTTGGTCAAACAACTATCAGTAGTGCGTGGTCATTTGGGATGGACATGCGGGAACGCACTGCGCTTCCAACACATCAACGCCTACCAGATCTGCTGAATGTCAATGCCCAATGGGAAATAATTTTGATCGGCTCTTTTTTTGGGTATACACCCTCCGGAGACTGCACCAAATCGCGCAAATCAAAGCCAACCGCGGTCAAACCCGGGGGAGGGAGGCGGGGTGGGGGGGGGGAGGGTTGGTTGGGGGGGGGGGGGGTTGCAGGGAGCTTGGCCATGTTCCCAGAAATGTTGTATAGATATACATAACATATGTATATATATATATAGATGTCCAAACGTATCACATATATTTGCATATGTATGCTATATGTATATATATATAAACATGTTGAGTTACTCTCCTTGTACCTTGGCAGGCTTGCTTTCGTGGGTAAGGGGCTAACGGGCAAATTGTGTCATCTGCTTCTACCCAGTACAGGACTTGTTGGTTCTCCTTGTGGGCAGCAGCTTGGACAACGAAGGGCGCCAGGATTTCAATCTAGCGGTTTACCCATTTTTCTGGGCTCCGATTTTTCAGCATTGACCAAACGCGGTTCGTGACACAAACCATCTGATCCGCAGCACCGCCCTCTCCCTCTCCCCCCCTTCGGGAGTTTTTCGGCGCGGCGGAAAGCCGAGGCTTTGAGATGTCGGTGTGGAACCCTGCAGGGCCCAATGCGCCCGTGAGGCCCGGGCCAACGCTCGACGAACGTGGGCGCACGTTGGAAACGACTTCGGGGCCGTGGCAAGTGTGGAACGTGTGCTATGTGTCCGCCTGGTTGGCTGGAACGAGTGCCAGGTAAAGTGAGCTCACCAGATACAAGTCCTCTTGCGGGCCTTAGTGCAGGTTTTGGTCAATGCGAAATATGATGAAATATGTCTCAAACTCATTCCCCCAACAAGGTTTGGAAGGGAAGACAAAAAGAAACCGGTGCAGTTTGTCAGGACCCCCTCCCCTTTTGACTGCTGGACCGGCCCAAATTCAACGTGGTAGATGGGGGCATGGGAATCTGGTCTTCGGCGTGTCGAACTAAGGCTTACTCCTGCAAATCCCAGCTTTGACACTTTGTAGGAAGACGACTTTTGAGGGGGGGGGAGGGCGGCTAACCCTCTCCAGGGTGTTGGAGGAGACAGTGACAACGCCAAAAGGACAGCAACTCCCTTGCCGTTTTCTTGTGCACGGCTGTCCGATCCTGAGATGGAAAGGAAGCAAAAGGTTACAGCTTGCCAGGTTTGTTCGCCAAGAAAAAGGAAGCCAGAGGGGCACTGATGCTTCCCCCATTCTGTCCCGAGCCCCTGTTCAACACTCAGGGACAGGCATCCTCCAGTGATTCGAATGCCTGGGAGCTAATACCCAGGTGCCAAACGTGCCGGCTTGAGGTGGGCTCGAAGCTGCTTTGCGTCTCCCTCAGACCGTGCAGCAGGTTGTTGGAGGCTGAGGCAAAGCAACGTCTTTGAGTTTGGCCGTTTTGGGCTTCCCCGTCCAGCTGAACATTGCTGGGATCTTCTTTGACCGGATTTTGCATAAATTTCAAGGTTCATTTTGCCCCTGGATCTTGATCAAAGCCACCTTCCATACCACCACCCACCACCCTCCACCTTGCAACCCTTCACCTTCCTCACCCATCATTTCGGCATCTCACACCTTCCAAACCTTTGGCACACCTTGGTTTGGATAGTTGGGCTGGTTGTGAGGGGCCAATAGAGCACTTCCCGAACGTGAAACCACCCACGCGGGAGGAACTGGTGGGGAATGCGGCACTGGAGGTCCGATGGGAGGCTTGATCCGACCTGGGGTTCACGCATGGCACCAGGGAAATGGTCCCTGGGCCTGCTGTCCCTTTGCGGTAGTTTTAAGCATCACCCGTTCGGCCTACAGGTGAGCTTTTGTTGGGTGGGGTGACGTTTTGAGGGGGACATATCGGGAATTCGGATTTTTGTTCGCCGGGTGTTGGTGGCAACTGGTGCCAGTTGGGCTAAGGGGTCTCGTTTGAATCTATTTGACAGTTTGAGGCCCATGGTCACAGAACAGAAGGCACGTCATCAGAGCATTCTCCCAGTTTTTGCTCAATTCTTGTTTGGCCATTGGTTGGTGTTTCTCCAAGTAGTGGAACCTCCTTTGGGTTCTTGTTTCAAGGGAATCATCTTGCCATTTGGGGGAACCTATTTCACAATGAAGCGCGAGTGCGACCTCTATTCTCCGACGAGGCAAACAAAACCTGAGATGATAGCAAATGCCTTCGAGCTGACAATGTTTATGCAACAGTTTGAAGACTTTTCCTGTACAAGGCGTGGATTCAAGATTCCACACTAGAGTGCTGCACATCTTGAAGCGTGTTTCCAACGATGCGTTCAAGCGCTTGAAAACGTTTTAGGGCTCTAGAGCCTGGAACTGAGGGACAAGCATTGAATATGCAAAACGCATCCTTCACACCTGTGAATAGATGCCCTGTGTCAAGAGCATACATGTTCAACCACTTCTGTGAACGCTGAAACACTGTCCATGGTGAAGCTTTCAGCAGTGTTCAAGGGTTCGGCATGAGAAAGCACAAGGAAACCATCTGGACCTGAACAATTTTGCCAGTATTCACTGTGCTTATGAGTCATGTTCATCCTTCCTCCAGACTTCCCACTTGTGCGTGTTTCATGCGCAGCATCACGCCTTACCCGGGATAACCGCGGGAAGTATTGGTGCCTCAGAGTTCCTGTCAGGATGGTGAAGTATAGTTGCACTTTTTCTTTAGGGTTGGATCTTTGGACTTTAACTTTTTGCGAAATAAAGGTGTTTTCCACTAAACCCACAAAAGTTAAACTTTTTGCAGGGGGGTCAACAGCAACCAAGGTTGGATGCTTGCGCTTGGCGCCGGGAAGGTTGCACCTCCCATTTCGGTCTGAAACCAATCGCTTGGACGCTTTTGGGGCTGCCTCTCGCACGTGGTGAACCCGCCGGAGGCTGCTCTCCTCCGCATTTGCGGAGGGCTGGCCGATCCTGGGGACACTTCAGAACATGTCCGCTTTCATTTCTGGCTACAGGCACGGTCCGCTTTTACGATCGTTTCAGGTTTACGATGGGAATCTGAGCATAGATGTTGCACCCTGGCCTAACCCACAGCTCATGATGATAAACTGGATCAACCACTAACGTGGTCTTCCAAACTGTGGTGACTGTTCGTGTCGTAGACCTGAATCGACGAGTTGCAGTCACACCCTCCAAATTTAGACCGTGTAGACAAGTTCCATGTTAGTGGCTGACAAGGGTACCTTGTGACACCTTCGGAAGACTCCTGCACCGCAACGGTTTCAGCCCTCCCCCCCTTTGGCACCCCTACACTTGTTTTGTTTTTGTTGTTTTTGTCCTAAGGAGGCGGGGGGAAGGTCTGCTTGTTTTTGTTATAGAAAGGTGGGCCAATCAAGAACGGCACATTATGTGACAGGGGGGGTCCACGGTCAAAGTCAGGAATGAATCAAACCTTCGCCACCCGCCTCCATTTCCTGATGTTTTTTGTTTCTTTTTTGTTTTTTTTTTTGCGGGGGGGGGGGGAAGGCTCTACCCAAACTGGAAGAAGAATGCAAAGAGTAGATATCCGCACCCATTTATGCTTGGGTTGTCCCTTACATCCTTCACATGCCCGGCGAGTTCCACGTTTGTGGACGGAAGGATGCTTTAAAGTTGAATAAACTTGCCGTGACGTTCAGACGCTTCTAGGACACCCAGAAGCAACAAAGGCATTGCCTTTGTTGGCACTTGAAGGGATGCTGGGCTATTCGGATAGGTTTCACATGTAGCATTTAAACTGAACTAGACAAGAGAGCCCATGCATCAATAGATGTATACTGCGCATATTTGTATGTAGGCATACATGTATAATATGTGTATTCAACAACTCGCGGCTCACTCCAAGGATTCCGCAGGGAGCAGCATGCCTAGAGGCGTAGAGGGCAAGCCAGCACACAGCTGAATACGCAGGAGACCACGGATCTGAATGGACCGAGAATTTGCGGGAAGAGAAGGGAAAGGAGCTTTTATGATGGGTTCCACTCTCCCCAACCGCCACTCTGGGATACAACTGCAAAACAACGATATTTGTGTATATATATATGCATATATATATATATATAGATACTTGCATGCATCGAGTTTCCTTTAGGCGTAATTAGTGGTTTCCTTTGGGTTAAAGGATTCTTTCTGAGGGCGGCACTCTTTTTCCCCTTGTTGTTCGGTGGGTGCGATTCCCTTAACGTGGTCAACCCCGCCAACACAACAAAAGACAAACACATGTTCCATGCTTCTACTAGGGTCCGCGAGCAATTGGCCATCAACCACGCACCGAAATTGCCTGAGCTGAATTAGAATCGGCTGAGTCGACGCCAGTTGCCCAGCTTCTCCTTTATTCATAGGTTGTTTGATTGTTTGGACGGGTCTCTGTTCATAATTCTACCAGAAACTGGGGGACGCAGCCTCTTGTCCCTATCACGGAAAATGTCATGACCATTGCAGTCAAACGGTTGCAGCCAAGCCTTTAGTCCGGATTCGTTCGGAAGCCTGGGCCCATTGGGTTCTCACAGTACTAGTTAGCGCCATCTCAAATCTACCATTCTGCGCAGAATGGAAGTCTATTCTTGCTGGTTCTTAGCAGGGGAAGGGATGGTCCATATTAACTATCACTTGTGGGCTTCCTTCGAGGGATCCCTAGGTTCATTCCCAAAACCTCCTCAGGAGGGTATCGCTTGCGGGCCCGGGGGTTTGAACAACTTGAGTCGCTGTTCAATCCCAACACATGTTTTCCCAAGTTTCCGTAGTCTCCCACAACAAAGCAGTGTTTGCTTCCCTCGTTTCCGAAGTTTGTCTCCCCACAAAGTTGTTACATTGTTGCTGTTCTTTTAATTTGCTTCCTGCGCCACATATCTCAAAGTAGGGCGCCCCCCCGAAATGGACTTCTTTCTTTTGTTTTCGCCTTTTGGCCCCCCTTCAAGCCCGCCTGCCCGCCCAAAACCTGCCAAACGGTTGCGCACAAACGCGCCACACACGCGCCAGGCAGCGCGCGGGGTCGCAGAGCGACATCACGCTGCTCTTCACCCCGACGCTGTGGGCCAGCGCCGTGGACCTCGTCTTCCACGAGCCGCCGGGCTTCGACTTCTCCACGGTGAGGCGCCGCTTCGGCCTCGGCGGGGCGGCTGGGCGGCCCCAGGAACTTTTTCAGGGAGGGCCTCACTCGGTCCCCCAGTACTGCCCTTTTACCCTTTTTTGGGGGAGGGCTCCCCTACTAAAATAGACTACAGAAAAATGGTACCCCTTATTCTAAGCTCTCTACTGGAGGACCTAGGAAAAATAATCCCAAATGTTGACCCCCCACAGGTGTGCAAAGAGCACGGAATGAGCACGGGCTCGGGCATCAAGGCAGCCCAAGCCATAGCTAACATGAGCTTCCCTTTCTTTTGGTAGTTGATTTTAAATGTGAACCCTCTCACCCAAAACATGGAAAACGGAGCGCTACTCGAGGTCTTGGCCGAATACTGCAACAAGACGCATCGAGATGCGCTCATGCCTTATGCATGAAGTGGCCCGAAAGCTGCACGGCTTTTATGTGAAGGCACACGCCAAGCGAAGAACAGTTTTGGGCTATTTCCTCTGTGTTTTGGTGGGTGTGTGGCTTATTTGCTGCAAGAATGGAAAGTTGCAGCTTATTGAATGGGTTTTAGTTGTTCCCCCGCATGGTGGTCACGTCCTTGCTATCGCAGCAGGTTGGCCCATGAGCTTATTTTCTATTTTGTCAGAAGGTTTGTGGGGGTATCAGATCATGATTGAATTCTTTGGACCGCCGTGCCAAACAGTGCGTCCCCAAGAAGTTGAACAGGTGCCATTGAGCAGCGGGGTCCATCGTTGCCCAGCGCCGCACACACACCCACCCACCCACCCACCCACCCACCCACCCACCCACACACACACACGCACACGCACACACGCACACACGCACACACGCACCCACGCACCCACACACCCACACACCCACACACCCACACACCCACACACGCACACACACGCACACACGCACAAACGCACACACGCACACACGCACACACGCACACACGCACACACACGCACACACGCACACACACACACACACACACACACACACACACACACACACACACACACACACACACACACACACACACACACACACACACACACACACACACACACACACACACACACACACACACACACACACACACACACACACACACACACACACACACACACACACACACACACACACACACACACACACACACACTGGGAATGCCACGTCGGCAGTCAAACACCAAACGTTCAAACACGTAAACATGAGATGAAATGTTGCAAGTTAGCACTGAACCGTGCAAAGTCAGTGGCCTTAAGGGCGATTGTTAGGGGTGAGCCCTCCAGCTGCCCGCGACGGGACCCAGGAGCAGCTCTCAGGCAGGTACGTTTCACGAAAAGTATGTGGGGTCTTCGTTGGCAGCCGCCCACATACTCTTCCGGCTGCCCCCTGCCGGCATGCACGAATTGCACGGATTTGACAAATCGGGGTACATACACGAACGTAGCTGAAAGCTTCTTGGTCTGGGGCAACCGCCGCAAACCTCTGTGCGTCAGGCGAATGCGTCCACTGATGTCCGCTGTGAACCGATAGGTCAGTAACGCCGTTCACGACAAACGTAGCTGAAAGCCACCTGGTCTGGGGCAACCGCCGCAAACCCGTTCACTGCTGGCGTGCATGAATTCCACGGATTTTGACAAACCTGGTTCTGCAGGTGGTTTGTACTGCGGATGCCACAGTGGGCAGATCGGGCTCTTCGAATTTGGGCGAGGGCTGATCGAATTTCAGCGAGGGTTCATCTCGAGAACGGGTTGTTAAAACATTTGGTCCAGCACGGCAATGTTTGCGGAGGCGGCGTCTCGAATTAGGCTGAGCTGCTGGCAGAGTTGCAGCAAACCCGTCTCAGATGTATTAACTTGGCGGTCAGGGGGGGGGAGGGGGGGGGCGGACGGCGGGGGAAGTGGATTACTCAAAACATGAGCCTAAATGGCCGAAGAATCAAGAAGTCACAGAACAATGAACAATGAGCGACGTGCAGTAAGTGAGAAATCTATTTTGACCAGCGTCGCAGGGTTGACCTAAAAAGTAGACCGACGAGAGGTCGCAGCCTGTAACTCGCGAAGGGTGAAACCATGGGATTGGTAAAAATCCTGCAACACAGCAATGTCCGTGGTAATGAAGGACCGAGGGAAAGTATACTTGCGAATCAGCGCAACACGAGATAGATAACCGGAAAATCTGTTGGCTCGTGTAGCCGTGCTATATGGGTGACGAACCTGCCATTTGGCATGCGGCATGATGAATCTGACCTGTCGAAGACGATGGAGTATGCGGAAACCCAAATAGTGATCATCGTTCACGGGCTCGATCAAAACAGGAGGTATGTAAAAAGTGTCCCGGAATAGAAATTGGAAAGGGGGCGAGTTGGCAATGTCGGCGTGAATCAATAGCATTCTGTTGTCGACGTATCGGGTAAAACAGAAAAGGTGTCGTTGGCTATGCAAAAACTGCTGAAAAGAATCAGTCCAAATCTGCTCCCGATGGGCAATCGCTAGGGCACACAATGCAGGAGAAAGCTGATTGCCAATTGTGGCTCCTCTAGTCTGCCGATAAACCTGTCCCAGGGTGAGGAAAATGCTAGCTGTAAAAGCAGTGGAAATGAAAAGGTCGATATCATCAAGGCGAATTGTTCGAAGGAGGCCTTTGCCCCTATACATGCGAAACTGCGAGTGAGTTGTGGACAAGTCAATTGAAAACGTGAGGTCAGGGGGTCCGGCGTGTTGTCTCAAATAGCGTTGCTTGGCTTCGCGCCAGGATGCTAACACTCGGCTTTGTGGAAGAGAATTGAAGAATCCGATGATGTCATCATTGCGTAGAACGATGCGGGCGTCATCCGAGATGGACTCAAAGAAATGACGGATGCTGCTCCAAATGTCCACATTTTGGCCGGGGTCCAATGATGCAGGAAAAGCAATACGTGAAACAGCTTGAACGACGAAAGCACAGGCTTTAAGGGCAGCGGCAAGGGGAGTGTTCCTGTAAGCAACAATAGAACGGCCAATAGCAAAAGATTTCTTGTGCTTGAGCAAGGTATATCCTCGTGGTAGGTCCAAATCCAATCGAAAGGCCAAGGGTATCGCTGAAGCAAAGAATCGGGAATGAGGGTGTGCAGAAGATCCTGAGCTTTGCTTGGCGGGATAGACACGCGTTCAAAAATCGTGGTCTCAGTGAAAGTGGCCTTCACTGCATTGTAATATAGTAACGGGCAATACAGCATAGTACGAAAAGGTTGATGATCCTGACAATGAATAGTCAAGCCCTGTAGCTGTTGTCGCAAAGATGAAACAGCCTGCCAAGTGATGCAGTCCTCATGTACGGTGTTCAAGTGCAGTGGCCACTGACCTTCCAAGAAGTCGTGGGTGGCAGCATCATCCATGTTTAAACAGTGCTTGTCAGCCCAGCGGGCGACATCTTTGCGGAATTCTTCTGAATATGTGCGCTTGGAGGGTAAAATTTGCGAGGCTGCGCTGTACTGAAGTATGGCTTTAAGCTGCGGAGATATCGACAAGAACTCGGCTGGGGAAGCAATGTGCCCATTATGCATTTCCAAATGGGGGTGTCTAGGCAAGAATGATTTGCAGGGGCACGAAGGGACTCTCCCTGGGTTCAAGGAGAATTCACGCATGGTCTCCTGGAAATTGAACAGTCGTTCGTGTAACGAGACGTGAGCCCGAAACAATATGGACCGGGAAGGAACATGAAGTGGGAGGAGTCGGTGTTCACTCTTGCGAATTATTTGCAGCAAAAATTGGCGTACATTGTATTGAAATTCAGGATGCGACAGGGGGCAAGTGCGAAAAGGGCTGTTAGTACCCGGCAAAGCAAGATTCTTGACCCGAAAGATCTTGGCAATGTGCGACTTGACTCTGCTGCGCCAGGGTTGTTCGAGGTTGTTACTCAAACGGAGTAGGGCATACAAGTGAAGTTGATGAACACTGTGTCGGCGAAGAAAAGCCTGGGCTCGAAAACTTGTCAAGTTGTCACCTGCGAGCATCAAAAGGGTCTGCCACAAAGACTGAACGGAGTCACTGAAGGAAGTAAGGAGGGAGAAAGGGCAATGAACAGCAGAAAGTCGTCGGCGAATCTTCTTGTGCAATCGGGAACTGGCTATAGACTGGTGATGTCGAGTCGGTAGTCGTTGATGTTTGATCCCTGAAGCCCGGAGTTGAATACGATTGCAAAAAGGGTAATTCAGGGGTGGCTGCCATCGGCTGATGAGATTAAGTTCCAACAGGCGTACCTCGTGTTCTGCATCGGCAGTCACCACTGGCAACAAAACGAAATCAAAAAATGAGGACGTGCGGACCCAATAGTGCAAAGCCAGCTCGGCTTTGACAAGCTTATGCTGCTGTAACTGATGGAGTTTGCGTAAACGAGAGTGAAACCGACCAAAAACAGTCTTCCGGGTACTGCCGATGTAGAAGAGCCGGGCCTTCTTGGCAAATCTGTGAGGTTGTCGTGTATCCATTGCCAACATCAGATATACAGCATAGGGGGAGTCCATCAAGCTCCAAGAAAGGGATTGCCATGAGTAGTCAAAGCATGTTAATCGACGTCTCCACTGGGTAATGGCAGCGGAGTTAGGGGCCCAGTGAAACAATATAAGCCAAGCAAGCTTGGCTCGGATAAGCAAAAGAGCATTTGAAACATGTATGGGCATATACTTGGGTAAATACTGCAGCGTAATGGTAGAAAAACGGAAAATAAGGTCAATGAGGTTGGCGTACTGTCGCATCATTTTGGCCGGTTGATGACCTCTGCTGATCCATTCGTAAAGCCATTGGATAATGAGAAATAAGAGTCTGAAAACATCCTCGAGGTCGGCAAAGAAGGTGTTGATGGGAATCGGAATAGGTTGTGAAACACGCAAGTCTTCGGGAGTTAGTTTGGAAATCTGTGTGAAAATGTCGGTCAGCATGTCGGAGTGTGTGTCGAATATGCGCAGGGGATCCATCGCGGTCTGTACACGAAGAGGGCGACGAACCTGTGAGCAACCATGGCTAAG